CCCAGCGTCGGTAACCTACTACAGGGACTGGATGCATTTCTGCCAAAAGCCATTGGTTCTGAGTCTCTGGGATCACGGCTGTTAAGCAGTTTGATCAGGAACCAGAGAAGCCTTGCCTACAATTATATAGTTGAGCCGGAAGTGGTTTGTGGGTGTGTCTCCCACATACCTAACTTTTGGCAGTTTACTTTGTTGGTAAACTTTGCCCCAAGTTTTTGGGGTCTGGCCAAAGGCACAGAAGCAATTTTGGGGTATCTGGAAGTCTGAAGGCGCCATCAGGCTGCTGATGCACCCGCCTCACAGGTACAGATTGACCTGCTGGTAGCACAATACCCCCCTGTGGGAAATTTTTAGATGCCTCAAAATTCATATTCATGAAAAATAGGATGTTTATTTGACCAGCCCAAGATGGCGATAGAAATTCCATGATTTGCTACTCAGAATAACAACTAACAATTATCCTAAAGTATAAGACCGAGAGAGTTCCATAACTTACAGTAAGACCAAAGCATGTCTTGAAATTCAGGGACCAACACAGAGATCAATGTAAAGGAAATAGAAGCTATACATACTTCATTGGACAGAACATGAGTGCCAAGAAGGTCCCATGGCAGAGGACTTTGAGGGTTGCCATGATCAGAGAATGAGAAGAAATAGGTTGCTATAGGGTGATAGATACATTGGGACAATAGTGGGAGGAAGTGGACACTGATGGAATATTTTATGTGTGAAACACTATCATTAACAGTGTTCTAAACCATGGTACCTAAAATAAGATTTTAGAAAAGAATTTCAAAATAATACATTATAATACATTAATTGAAAATTTAAATATAAACATTAGAATATTATGCATTGTTTACAATAATACATTTTATAATATATAAAATCTATAGAAGCCTGTACTAGAAAGAACTATTTTAATCAAGTTATTTGTTGCTTGTTTGGAAGTAGGATGGGTAAGGATGCAATAACACAAAGGACATTTGAATTTTATTATAAGCATCTTTCTATTCAAGAAGAATATGAATCAAATACAATAAAATATTAACACTTGTAACTTTGAATCTCTCGGAGAGCCCGGCGAGCTACCGAGAGTATCTCGCCCGCACGGCAAAGTCTGGCAAGCTCCTCGTGATGTATTCTATATGCCAAACACAGTAACAAGTCTCACAATGTTACTGGGCCCGCTTGAGCAAATCGATGAACAACGGGAGGACCGTGACCGTGACCATAACTTTGAATGTTTGTATTATGTATAAAATGAAATACATACATTTAAATTATAAACATCAAATAAAAGAAGAGTGAAGTGGGTGTAAAATTAAATTGTAAAGCAAATTTACAATGAAAATAGCTTAACTGTTAAAAGGAGAAGTACAATTGAGGAAAATATTTCAGGGGAAAAATGCCTAATTAGGGAGCTGGAGCAATAGTACAGCATGTAGGGCATTTGCCTTGCATGTGGCGGACCCGGGTTTGATTCCCAGCATCCCATACAGTCCCCTGAGCATTGCCAGGAGTAATTTCTGAGTCCTACATTTCTTTCATGACCTTGATTACCTAATGGAGCATGGAAAATAAATGATGACCAAGGGTCTATGGTGATAGTACGGTATGTATGGTGTTTGCCTTGCAAATGCCCAAACTGGATTTGATTACTGGCATCCCACATGGCCCCCCAAGCATTTCCAGGATCCCTGAGAGCAGAGCCAGGAGCAGCCCCTGCACAATATCAGGTTTGCTTCCCCCCAAGAAAAAAATGCAAATGACTGAATATGTGCATTATCAACAAAACCTGGAGAGCTAACTACTGGACTTGAACAAATAATTGCTATGAAATAAGTACATGTAAAGTACTGGTTGAACTCCACAAGAAGAAAACATCCAACCCCATAAAAAAAAAATGGGGCAATGAAATGAACAGAAATTTTCTCAGAGAAGAAATCCGAATGGCAAAAAGGCACATCAGAAAATGCTCTACATCATTAATCATCAGGGAGATGCAGATCAAAACCACAATGAGATACCATCTCACACCTCAGAGACTGGCCCACATCCAAAAGAACAAAAGCAACCAATGCTGGCGCAGTTGTAGCGAGAAAGGGACACTCTTTGCTGGTGAGAATGCCAACTGGTTCAGCCCTTTTGGAAAACAGTATGGACTATTCTCAAAAAATTAGAAATTGAGCTCCCATTTGACCCAACAATACCACTCCTGGGAACATATCCCAGAGAGGCAAAAAAGTATAGTCGAAGTGACATCTGCACTTATTTGTTCACTGCAGCACTCTTTACAATAGCCAGAATCTGGAAAAAACCTGAGTGCCCAAGAACAGAAGACTGGTTAAAGAAACTTTGGTACATCTACACAATGGAGTCCTATGTAGCTGTTAGAAAAGATGAAGTCATGAAATTTACATACAAGTGGTACTACATGGAAAGTATCATGCTAAGCGAAATGAGTCAGAAAGAGAGGGATAGACATAAAAAGATTGTATTTATCTGGTGGACATAAAGTAACAAAATAGGAGATTAATACCCAAGAATAGCCGAGATCAGTACCAGGAGGATTTCTCCATGGCTTAGAGGCCAGCCGGGCATTCTAGGGGAAAGGGCAGCTCAGATAGAGAAGGGAGCACCAAATAAAGGGTGTTTGGAGGATCCTCCCAGGAGGGGAGATGCATGTTGAAAGTAGACTATGGACCAAACATGATTGCCACTCAATGCCTCTTTTGCAGACCACAACACCCAAAAGGAGAGAGAGAACAAAAGGGAATGCTCTGCCACAGAGGCAGAGTGGGATGAGGGGGATGGGTGTGGGAGGGATACTGGGATCCATGGTGGTGGAAAATGGGCACTGGTGAGGGATGGATATTTGATCATTGTATAACCGAAACCCAAGCACAAAAATTTGTAAGTGTACAACTGTACCTCATGGTGTTTCACTAATAAAAATTAAAAAGAAAAAAACACACACACAAAAAGAAATAAGTACATGATCAAAAATGCTTTTTGGAATGGAATAACTATTAATGAAGCTAATTTAAACTATTAGCCTAGTTCATTCAACTCACAAATATATCTCCAGTTTCTCACATTCGATAGAATTCAAATTATCAAACTCCTTTGTTCAAATCTGAAAATAAATGCATTTTTTCTGAATAAATCATCAAATAAGTATACTTTGTTCAAGTCTGAAATAAATGCATAGCTGTGTTCTGACTATGGCACTATTGTTCTATTTGATAAGAAATCTAAGTCAGTTACTAAGAAATTACTTAAAAGTCAGAACAAAATAATTTGTAGATGATCAAGAATCTTTGTTCATATCCTATATCTGATGCAGTAAAAATTACTTTACCGGACTCTACAGGCAAGCAGAGGAAGAATAAATTTTGATTGTGGTGACTTGTGCAATTTGTAGCCCAGGAACAATATGGGATAATTTTATGGAACCACAGATCAAAGCCTACAGTTTTCTTTGTAATATTGTCCTGATAGCAATTCTAAAATGGCTCTGAAAAAGTCTTGAGGTGTAATTCTAATTAATCTATTTCATATGGAGACATTATCTCAAAATAATTTTAGTATGCATAATTAGTTCTACAGCATATGTGCTAAGTGCCTTTAAACTTTATAAGGAATATTTTAAGTCTTTTTTCCCAAGGAGATAAATCCAAGCGCATCCTTTCTGTAAATTTTTCAAGTCATTTCTTTGTGTGAAATTTAAGATTACTACATAATTATTTCTCAGAACCCTCTTATAGACAATACTCACCTGTTGACTACATTTATTACAACTGTGATCTTAATGTTTAGGTTACTTTGTTATCAAGGATCATTGTAAGATTTGCATCTGAAGTTCTAGTCCTGAGTTAATGTATCCCATGAAATACCCATGAAATAATATGCTGATATATAATAATGTCCCGGAATAAATGAGCTCACCATTCACATAAAACCTGATCTTTGTAGCCTTCCATTTAACAGAGTGCCCAAAATGCCTAAACATCTGTGTCAGCTACATAGTAACCAGCAGAAGGAAATTTACAGTGAAATAAACAGTGAGAATAGTTTTAGGTTTTTTTTTAAAGGTTTAGGGTCACCTGACATGTCCCTAAAGGGACAAGGCTACTTGAAATACAGATCAAATAAAAATAACTCACAATCAGTTTTTGAAATAACTGCTTTCCAGAAGCTATAAATAAGTTACAAGTTATTTTGTAGGAAAGAAAAAGAAGACACTCCCAACCCCACCCTGTCCCTGCTTGATTGACTTTTACCTTCAAAATATCCAGAAGAGTTTAATGGCCATTACAAATTAGGGCTGGAGTGATAGCACAGCGGGTAGGGCGTTTGCCTTGCATGCGGCCTACCTGGGTTCAATTCCTCTGCTCCTCTCGGAGAGCCCGGCAAGCTACTGAGAGTATCCAGTCCGCATGGCAAAGCCTGGCAAGCTCCCCGTGAAGTATTCGATATGCCAAAAACAGTAACAACAAGTCTCACAATTTGTTGTGAGACATTATTGGTGCCTGCTTGAGCAAATCGATGAACAATGGCAGAACAGTGCTATAGTGCTACAAATTAAGTGGCTAGAGCAAATATACAGACAAGACATCATCATCCAGGACACCAGATGAAGAAATGATCTTCAAAGACTCATGAAGAAATGATCTTCAAAGACTCATCCTGTTTGTTCAGAACCCCACCTGCTGTTTTTCCTCAAGTGTTACTCCCATGAGTCCCAAAACTACTTTCTTTTTTTTTTTTCAAGAAATAGGACAAGATAGAAGTTTTAAGCCCCTCCTTCAGCCTGTACAAGTATTTAGTGAAATAAAGGAATAATGAGGCAGATCTGAGCAACGCCATTTCTTTACTGAACTTCAGATTGCAATAAAGTCTTTTCCCTTTTTTTATGAAAACTGGTGTGGTATTTGAATTTAATTCTCTGGTGTACAAGGCATAAGCCCTTCATTCAGCTTCAAAATGACAATCAAATTTCTTCTCTGCCTTTTGGTTGTGATCAAGCATAGTATCCATTCTTTTGCGTTTGATGTTGATATACAGCTCTAGATATCATCTCTCTCCAAGGACAACATATTAACTGATGCAAGAAGTTGGAATAGGAGTTTGCTTCATCCATTCCACTCATCAACCTGGTATTGCAATACCTCCAGGATGGTACACCCCAATCTTTGAGGAATAAAACTAAAGCAAAACTAAAGGGAAGTTTATAGTAATGTAGGTTTACTTTGAAAAAAAATTTAATTCAGAACAAAGAAGAAAACCGCTGGAGGGCCCCGCAGCTCCCGGAGAATGCTCCAGGTCCCAAACCCAGCCGATATCACCGGGAGGTCCCAGATGGAGTAGGTGCTGCATCCTGCTTTCTCCAGAAGGAATCCTGGTGACCATGAGCCTCTACAAGCATAGCTCGGGCATGCGGGAACCAGGACATTTGTTCCATCTCCTTATATACAATGTGATCAATGGAAAGTAAATCATCCAACGTTTCTCCCTGAAAATCAGGCTTAACTCTTTTGCAAACCACAACACCCAAAAGGAGAGAGAGAGAACAGAGGGGAATGCCCTGCCACAGAGGCAGGGTGGGTTGGGGAAGATGGGGGGTGGGAGGGATACTGGGATCTGTAGTGTGGGAAATGAGCACTGGTGGAGGGATGGGTATTCGAAATAAATTAAAAAATAAAAGAAAAAAGAAAAAAAAGAAACAAATTTAATTCAAAAAAGTAGCTTAACCTCACAGTTTGAGAAACTAGGAAGCAAACAACAAATTAATTCCAAAGTGAGTAGAAGGAAGGCAATAATAAAAACTAAAGCAGGGGCTGGAGCAATAGCACAGTGGGTAGGGTGTTTGCCTTGCATGGGGCCAACCCGAGTTTGATTCCCAGCATCCCATATGGTCCTCTGAGCACCGCCAGGGGTGATTCCTGAGTACAGAGCCAGGAGTAACCCCTGTGCATCGCCAGGTGTGACCCCAAAAAGCCAAAAATAAAAAATTTAAAAAATAAAAAATAAAGCAGAAATCATTGATGCAGAAATGCAGAATGCAATACAAAAGGTCAATGAAACCAGGAGCTTTTTTTTTCAAAGAATAAAGAATATATGAAAAGCCCTTGATTAAATTCATTGAGGGGGGCAGGAGGGAGAAGAGAGCCTAAAAGAATCATATCAGACATGAAAAGGAAGAAATTACAAAAGACACTTCAGAAATACAAAAGACCTTAAGAGGTTGCTATGAATAACTCCATATCAGTAAGTTAAAGAGCCAAAAAGAAATAATGAATTCTTACAATCATGAAATCTCCCAGTAGTGAATAAAGTGAAGTAGAAAAGCTGAACAGACCAATCACAAGTTTAAAAAAATTGAAACCATTTGAAAACTTCAGGGCACCCTCAGGAGGTAGGCTAGCCAAGTACCCGTCCAGCTGAAGCTCTGGCAGGTACACTCTGCCATTGCAGTCATGCTAAAGCCTCAACTCCATCACTTCACAAATATTCTCTGCAGAGAGGCTAAACTGCAAATAATTCAGGTACCCTGGTTCCCAGGCTGAGAACTCCTCCCACCCCAATACTTCCAGAAGCCCTAGCAGCCACACCCACCTCCCATAGTCACCACCATGTCAACTCACTGGCCCAGGCCACAGATTCTGAACTTTATGGACCATAGCCATATATGTAACCCAGCAACAACTCCAAATTCCTCAATACTAAAATTCCAGTTGGAGCATAACAAATTAGATTGAAAAGTTCCATAGAAGTCAACTAAACTCAACAAACAAGAACATAACATAGAAGGATTAACTATCAACAACAATTTAGTTTAGTAATTTCTTAGACAAGAACTTAACAACCCCATAATCAGATATAACAATTTTCACATATAAAATATTGCTATATTTATTGATTTCAATATTGTAGCTTTGTTATCTAATCTATTTCAACTCTAGGACTATATCAACAGTTTTGTTCACATTAAAATAAATTGAATATTTAAAAAAACAAAATTGAAACCATATTATAAAATATCCCAAGTCGAAGAGCCCAGATGGCTTCATGAATGAGTTATACCTAAAATTTCAAAGAAAACTTAATGCCCATATTCCTCAAACTTTTCCAAAATATTTTAAAAAATCTTTGCTAACAGAGTCTATGAAGTCAACTTTACCCTAGTACTAAAACCAGACCGAGATATTACTGAAAAAGAAAATTTAAGACCAAATCCTGATGAACATTGATGCAAAGATCTTTAACAAAATCTTACTAAACCAAATCAAAAAAATATGTTAAAAGGTAAGTGAGAGAGAGAGAGAAAGAAAGAAAGAGAGAGAGAGAGAGAGAGAGAGAGAGAAAAGAAAAGTGGCTGCCACAGATGCAGGCAGGGATGGAGTGGGCAGGAGGGAAACTGGGGACATTGATGATGGAAAATGTACACTGGCAAAGGTATGGGTGTTGGAACATTATATAACTGAAACCCAATCATGAACAACCTTGTAACTGTGTATCTCACTGTGATTTCATTAAAAAAAATTTTTTTAATATGTTAAAAGAGTCAAACACCATTATCAAGCAGGTTTCATCCCAGAGATACAAGGACCATTCAATGTATGCAAGTCAATCAATGTAATATACCATATCAATAAAATTCCCTCAAAATTCTGTCACTGTCACTGTCCCTCAAAATTATATCCAATTAAACAAAAATAATCAAATATTATGATGAATTTGCATTTCTGGGATGCAAAGATAATTCAATATAATCAAATCAATAAATGTGACACATTTCTATTAATAGAATGAAATGCAAAAATCATAATGGTACCAATATATTTTAAAATTTGCATTAGAAATTTAACATTTTTCATGATAAAATTGCTCAACAAACTAAGCATAGAATAAACAATAGCTTTTGATAATTGAACATTATCAAAGTCATACCTCTCCATAAAAAAGCAATATATAATAAACCCTCAGACAATATCATACATAACAGTGAAAAGTTGAGAATTTACCTCTAAGACCAGGTTGCCCACTCTCACTACTCCTACTCAATAAAGTACTGAAAATCTTACTCAGAGCAATTAGACAAGAAAAAGAAAAATCATCCAAACAGGAAAGGAAGAATTAATACTGTTTCAACTTGAAGATATATGTAGATAATTATAAAACTCCTCAAAACTGCTAGCACTAATAAAACCTCAGAAAAAGTACAATATTTGAAAAAAGGAAATGTACAGGAATCAGTTATATTTAAATTTAAAGACATTTAAATTAGGCTGGAGTGATAGCACAGGGGGTAGGGCGTTTGCCTTGCACGCAGCGGACTTGGCTAATCTGAGTTAGATTCTTCCGCCCCTCTCAGAGAGCCCAGCAAGCTACTAAGATTATATCGCCTGCATGGCAAAGCCTGGCAAGTTACCTGTGACATATTCAATATGCCAAACACAGTAACAACAAGCCTCACAGTGGAGACGTTACTAGGCCCACTCAAGCAAATTGATGAACAATGGGAGGACAGTGCTATACATTCGTGACAGCACCAAAATAAGTAATTGAAAATGAAAATTGCCAAGAAGACGAAAGACCTGTACATTGAAAGCTGAAAAATATTGTTGAAAGTAATTGAAGTAGCTAGAAACAAGTGGAAAATTACTGTGGGAAGGAAAAAATAACTGTTTGAGATGTCCAAACCAATTGATGTCATTTATATATTCAACATATACCCATCAGGGTTTAAATTATATCTATCTATATATATATAGAGAAAATGGATAAGTGTCTTATAATATATCTTATGATATGTGATAATTGGCCCCTGGAGCAATAGCACAGCGGGTAGGGCGTCTGCCTTGCACGCAGCCAACATGGCCGACCTGAGTTCGATTCCTCCACCCCTCTCGGAGAGCCCAGCAAGCTACCAAGAGTATTCGATATGCCAGACACAGTAACAACAAAGTCTCCAATGGAGACGTTACTGGGCCCGCTCGAGCAAATCGATGATCAACGGGAGGGCCTTTACTTTTTATGTGATAATTACCACATTGAACTTGATGGGTTTCCAATATGGTGTGAACCATGTGGTTCACCACCTCATCATGGCCAGGGTGGCAATGGTGCCGACCGGCGAAGAATGAACCAATAGGTGCTGCAGATCATTACAATATGCCAGTCGAACAAACTCTTGTATTCGGTAAATGAGGAGCACCTGTAAGGGTGATTGGAGGCCACCCTAAAAGCCTCCATCCCTTTCAGAGAGCCCGGCAAGCTACCCAGAGTATCCCACCCACACAGCAGAGTCTGGCAAGCTACCCATCACATATCTGGTATGCCAAAAACAGTAACAATAATGGTCCTTATTCATCTGACCCTGAAAGAGCACCCAATACGGCAGCATTAAGGACAAGCAAGGAGAGGCTGATAAAATCTCAGGTACGAACAAGGACGCCAAAACGAAGAAGGTCTAAAATGACTGTCTGTACTTTTAATGCATGTACACTGGCATCAGAAGCATCCATTGAGGACTTGATGGTGCAAGTGCAGAAGATCAAGTACGACATCATTAGTCTGACCGAGACCAGAAGGCATCAACCACATCATGCCACTTTTGACACTAGAGAAGAACTGTTCCTCAGAACATGTGACAATAGAGGGGTTGGTGGTGTCGGTGTCCTCATCAACACGAGGCCATGAGCATTGATTCATTCAAATGCCTAACATCCCGAATCAGACGCTTAAGCTTGAATAGATGTGGCTCATTGCCAGCAGTTTCTATCTTCGTCATCTACGCACCAAATTCCAACTACGATGAAGAAGAAATCAAGAAGTTCTGCATGGAGCTGGAGAAGTTCTATAAAGAAGACCACACCTTCTACAAGATCATTGTGGGTGATTTTAATGCCAAGATAGAACTGAGAAGATCACTTGAAGGACTCCACATCGAGACCCATGGCCAAGAATGGAACGAACAGGGTGAGAGACTGTCTGAGTTCATCATGTCGACCAAGACCATCCATGGTAACTCACAGTTCCAGAAGGCCGAATCTAAACGTTGACATGGGAATCTCCCAGTGGACAGTTGCACAATGAAATTGACCACATCATATTCAATCGACAGTTTTGCCTGACTGAATTCGCTGTTTTCCCAAATGAGATCGGACCACTATCTCCTTCGTGCAAA